TCAAGGTGCATGAATGATACAGAACATTAAAACCACAAAGGACAGCACATTCACTCTTCCTATATGGTCATCTCTGTATTAACGAGATTTTGCTACGATAGTGCCACGTCACACACAGCCACAGAATGTTCGTGGCAGTCATACACATTTGTTGTTAGGGATCTGGGGTTTGGCTGGTCTAGACTGGGCTTGACTGAGGCAGTTCTGCTGCTATAGCCACAGGCCTGGGATCGGTGGGGGATCAGTGACCCAGGCTGGACTCTGCTCCTCACGTTGCATCCTCCTTGGACCGGCACCAGTCAGGGCACGTCTCCCCGCAGCAGTGTTAGAAGCACCAGAGAGTGACCGAAGCACACGAGGCTTCTGGGGCCTGGCTTAGAACTGGCACACTGCCACCTCCTCCCACACGCCATTGGCCAAAGCAAGTCATGTGACTAAGTCACACCAAGAGCAGGGAAATACATCCCTCCCGGGGTCGGGGTATAGATACAGGGAAGTGCGAAGACTCAGAACCAAACTCAGTCTGCATCCTCTCTCCAAAGGCTACCCCCTTCCAGCCCCCTTGCAATTCAAACTTTAATAAAAGGGGCAAGGAAGGGATGACTGGTGGTTGTCATTGTCACGATCCATCACCCACCTTTTTCTGGCCAATAATTGTTTAATGTTCTGAATCAGTTGGCAATGTTTCCAGCATGTCTGTCATTTGGGCCCATCTTTGTGCTGAGTGCTTGGGGGGACATCAGGGAGAAAGGCCCTTACTCTACCCTCAGGAGCTCCTGATCCACTGAAAGATAAGGCTGGTGTCCAAAGATAAGATGGGGCAAGAGGATGCTCAATTGTGTCAAGCAGACTGGAGTCAGAGAAAAGAGAGACCGGCAAAGACGGGAAAAGAATGAGATAGGAGGAGAGGAATCATACTAACCTGGTGGTAAGCACTGGCTGAATGACAGTCACTGTGCCGAGTGCTTTCCACGCCTGCTCCCATGACATCCGGAGAGGAGCCGTGACCACCACGTAACCGATGGAAAAAACAGAGGCACAAAGGACTCAAGTAATTTGCATGTGATCGCCCTTCTGATAAATAACTGGAACCAGGATTTGAGTCCAGCTCTTCCCGCAGCCAGAGCCTGAGAGTTCATGACCAGGGCCCATGGCCGGCCGTTCCAAGGGGAAGGGGGGCAGCAGAAATAGACAACTGTGCACAGGGGGCAGCTTCCAGGGGGTGGGCGCTGTGGAGGAGACCCCAGCTATGTTATGAACTATAAATGGGAGCAAAGATAGGATGTGCGATTTGGCCAAGGTCCTGCGGCAAGACAGGGTGGAGGCTGGGCTGGAAATTCTGGCTGTTGGCTCTCCTTCCACTTTCCCTGGTACCAGCCGCATTCTGGGCTCTCTCCACCCATCTGCGCGGCCACGCCTGAAGCGTTTCCCTCTTGGAAGAGGTGCAATCCACTGGCATGGAAGCCGGGTGGACTGGCTCCCTCTCTCCATCCATCTCTTTCCTCCTTTCCCCTGCCATGTTCTGGAAAGGGCAGCGTGAGGGAATGTGGGCAGGTTGCACCAGAGATATACATCTGAGAGCTGAAGGAACATTTATTTTTAATTTAGACTTAAAAAGAAAAGAGGAAGTTATAAAATATCTGCTCTTGCTCCTGGGATTGTGCAGATGGTGCTGCGTGTTGCCTAATAGGGAACGGGGCTGGCACCGCGTGCTCCTGGCCCCACCAGCCTGGCTGCAGGGCCTGGAGGGCGGGGTCCCCATTCCCTTCGCCTCGCTCAAACGGCCCCCTTCGGCTCTCGGGCTGGCCAGTGCAGCATGGTGCTCCGCTGCCTTCTCACCTCACCCTTCCTGGACTCCAGTCAGCTGACTGCCCAAGCCTCCTCCTTAAATGAGGTCAGTCTCAGCTGTCCCGCTGCCCTGAGCGCACACGCACACCTCAGCGCCGCCTCACCGCCTCCTCGGAGAGAGCCGGAGCCCACCCACCTCTCCTGCCTGAGCCCCTGTGTGGACGTGAGAATTTATCAGATTTGCAGACACAATTAGTGCCCGACTAAACCACCATGCCCCTTTCCTGACCATGTGGTGTAAGGACTTCCTCACGCACCTTGCTGTTGGGTTTTGGTTTGTTGTGGTTAGGGAGGCTGTATTTCTCTGCTCAGGAGGCAGCAGGGGACGTGGGGCACAGAAGATGCTCAAAAACGGGCATGGAGTCTGCTTCTTCCTTTGTGTGCGAGGAGATGAGCTGGAGAAGGAGCCCCTCACATCAGAGAGATGGGGCTCCCAGGCCAGGAATCAGGAGACATGCCTCTTTAAAATATATATATATTTGATTTTTTTTTACAGAGAGGAAGGGAGAGGGATAGAGAGCTAGAAACATCGATGAGAGAGAAACATCGATCAACTGCCTCCTGTACCACCCTCTACTGATGATGTGCCCGCAACTAAGGTACATGCCCTTGACCGAAATCGAACCTGGGATCCTTCAGTCCGCAGGCTGACACTCTATCCACTGAGCCAACCCGGTTAGGGCAAGACCTGCCTCTTTTTCTAGGAGCTACGAAGCCTTGGGCAGGTCACCAAATGTCTCTCAACCTCAGTTATCCCATTTGCAAAATGCAGAAAGTAATTTCTATTTTTTTCTGAGCCCCAGAGTTATAATAAGGACCATGGTAAGTGACATAAGGGGAAATGCTTAGCAAAACCCATCCATCTCCTTCAGAAAGCATAAGGAGTCAGAGGTGCATGGGCGTCAGGCTCGTGTGGGCAGAAGGTGGGCCAGCAAGGTGAAAAGCCTACTGGTTACAGCTGTGTGCGTGTGTGTAGTACACAGCCTGGGTACCGGTTTAGTCTAGGGCTGTGGTTTGTTCTGGAAAAGACTTGATATCAGATTTTAAAAATACATGGCACAAGATGAACAAATGAAGATGAAATGAGACAAAAGGAAATTTAGGAAGGGAAGAGAAGGGAAGATGAAGTCAGGAGTGGACTTTCTCCATAAAATATGTGCCATGAGGATGTGTACACTGGGCAGAGGTGCGCCCTGGAACTCTGGCCTGACCTCGACTGTCAGGGCAAAGGGAAGCATAGTTAAAAATGCCCCATGTCTGCAAGGCCAATGCAAACCAGATGCATTTCTGAACCAGTACGATTTCTGAACCCAGGAGAGAGGACTCATAAGGGGACCCTCTGATGTAACGAGCTGCAAGGGTCCTGGACAACAGCTGTCTGGTACCAACAGTGAGTCCCATGGGGCTGCATCGTACCCTCTCCTGGTGGCCAAGCACAGTTCAGGGGGTGCAATATAAACCAGCAGATTACGGGGAATGATATCCTCCCAACAGTGAAGAACTACTTACATGCACACATTTGCTGGCTTATGCTATCTGTTCCCAGCTTCAAGCCTCAGTTTCCCCTCTATGGTCTGGCTCCTGACTGGGGTCCGACTAGAAGGAGGTCCTGTGTTCCCCATGATACCTCTCAATTGGGCTGGGGTGGGGCTATCTCTACTGACTTTATGTGTATTATTTGGAAAATGAGAATAGAGTTTAAACCAAGATAGGGCCCCCAAGGTCAACCCCTTCACTTTATAGGTAAGAAGGGCGGAACCCCAAAGGGGACTGTTTTATGCTGGAGATCACACAGGGACGGAACTGGGGTTAGAACCTAGATCTCCTGATTCCCACTCCAGTACCTGCAGCTGCCATGGCAAAGAAAAATGGAGTTACCATCTCATTTTGGGGAGAAAAACATCATCATAATTTCTCACTGGAGCTATGGAATGCCTTTATATTGTATAATTTTATTCAAACTGATATGGGCCAATAAATATAAATGTATGTGCATATTCACTGTTTTAAAAACATTTTAATCTTTAAAACATGATTTACTAATGTTGCTGAGGATGTCTAGAATTTGATTTACTGCATAGGATTGAGTGTTTATACTTGTTCCTTACAGAAATTCTTGCCAAAGAGCCATTTTATCTACAGGAATAATAAATAAGTCAATATGTGGATGGTTGTGCACATTTTTTCCCATATGCAGCAGAACTGGGTAGGTGTTATTTTGCACACAAGCACCCAAAAGGTAAACTTCAGAGACATGTGGATCCCTGAAGTCCAAGGTTTGGCCAGTGTTCAAATCAGACAATTAAGAATCAGGGACATAGAAAGGGAATGGACTCACTATTCTTGGGGGGGAAAGGGGTGTGGGGGGTGCGGGAAGAGACTGGACAAAAATTGTGCACCTATGGATGAGGACAGTGGGGGGGTAAGGGCAGAGGGTATGGTGGGAACTGGGTGGAGGGGAGCTATAGGAGAAAAAAGAGGAACATCTGTAATAATCTGAACAATAAAGATTAAAAAAAATGGCATGTAATCTCATAGACATTCATGTTTCGTTCAACAGCTTAAACATGGTGTAGGTTTTGCTACAGTGATAACATATAAATTCCGCCAGCTTGTATTTGTAAAGCACGTAAGGCCTTTGAAATGGGTTCTACTGAATCCTCACAAAATCCTGCTGGGTGGCTGGAGTGTGGCGGAGCCGGGTACGCTGGGCAGAAGTGACGGTGTTTAGTTTGCTTGTTTGTTTTATTGTTCCCCTGCCCACAATTATGAACAGAATGCCTGTCAGCTGTTAGAAAGAATGCAGAAATATTCAAGAAGAATGTGGGGAAGTCCTCTGTAGCCAGACCTACATGCTGTGCTACAGCTTTTCGTCATGCTTGGAGATATGTACGTGTGTTTGTGTACATGGTTTTATATAAGATGTTTTTCTTTAAAAAAATGGGACTGTGCTGTAATACGATGCTACAGCTTGGATTTTTTCATCATGCACAGCCTCGCTACGGGCAGCAGGTTGTACGAACACATCGTCCAGATCAGTCTGTGCAGATTCAGCTTGCTCTTATTCGTGGCTGTTTAATTTTTATTCGCAAAAGAGTAGGGTGTTTCTTTTGCCTTTTTCAGCCTTTCCTCTCTCTCTCTCTTTCTCTCAGGTGGTCGGTCTCCTTTTGCCCAACCAGACACTGGCATCTACGGTCTTTTGGCAGGTAACAGCTTCCTGGCAAACAGTCTCCTGAGGGAGGGCCCAACAGGTACTGGTTAGAACTCCTGGCCTCAGCGTCTCCTCTCCCATCCATGCCCCTTGGGGAAATCACCCCATTTCGTACCTCTCCTCAACCCAGAAGCTACTGGGAGAAGCCCAGGTCTTCATTCTCCTTTGCAAGAAGGTAATGAGGGCTGGGCTGGATGGCTGGTTGGTGGCCGCCCACCCTGTCCCTCGGTTGCTTGTCCCATGGCCAGTGACCTCAAGGCCCACAGCCTCTTTAACATCAGCCTCACCCAAATCTGTGGGGAAGGTAAATGCACCCCAACCCCAAGGTAGTGAGCTGGGTGACAAGGCATCACAGACCCTGGTCTCTGCTCTTGAAGAGCGGCTGGGTGTGGCTCTCGGACAGTAGTTGAAGGTGTGTGTGTGTGTGTGTGTGTGTGTGTGTGTGTGTGTGTGTGTGTGTGTGTGTGTGTCTGCAGAGAAAGAGGGGAAGGAAGAAAACCTGTCAGTCTTTAGGAGAGAATGTCAGTCTTCCCTGAGCACAGCTCCAACAGTGCTGGTGTCTGGGCATGGCAGGTGGTGCAAGACATGGGGCTGGGATGTTTCTGAAAGAGATTCAGGGCTGTCAGTCATTCCAGGGGCCTAAGTGTCCGCCTCTGTCCAGTAAGTAATGTAATAAGGAGGACGAGGCAAAGGCAGGGGGTCCATTTAGGGCATGATTCTGGAAGAGGCACTGCTTCTGGAGCAAGTTGGACTGCCGGGGTGGGCAGAACCGGTGTCCTGGTTTGCCATGGGGTTGGGGGGTGTCCCAAGGCTGCGGACGTTTGTGTTAAACCTGGCACAGTCCCGGGCAAAGTGGGCAGTTGGTCATGGTAATAGTGGGATGGATGGACCCACCGTGAGCTAGCGACTCAGGTCTTTCTGAAGGTGTGTGGCCACCCAGGGCCCTGGCCTGGCTTCCAGGGAGGTGAGCACACCTTCCCTGACTTCTCCTCTCCCCCCTTGCCTTTCAGTGGCTGAACCAGAGCCACAACGCTTGTGTCAACTATGCAAACCGCAATGCTACCAAGGTGAGCGCCAGGGACCACCCTCCAGAGGTGGGCTTCAGGCTGGGGCGCCCTTCATCCTCCCTGCAGTGCATCACACCACTCGTCAGACTAAGCACTGCCCTCCTGTAGGCACCTTATTTACACTGCTGGGAGGGACTGTCCACATGATGTGAAGAAGGCCTGTAACATGGGAGTCGGGGGCAGCTACAGGGAACAGCTCCACTGGCTCCAGAATTCCCTGTGGGCGGCTCTTATACAGATGTTGGACCTGGACAGCCTCAGCCAGAGGGAACCGAATTTCCCTACCGCTTTCTCAAGCTTCCCTGGAAGCTGCCTCTCTGCCCCCAGACTATTGGCTGCAGAGGGTGAGGGGTGCTGGGTCTTCAGGGACTGGTACCACCTCCCCTCCTGCCCTTCTGGGACAAACTCACCATGGAGGCCCAGTCACCCTTCTGCTGTCAGGAAGGGGCTGGGCCCTGCTACACTGGCGAGGCTGCCTTTCCTCCTGTCAGTTCGCTCGGTCTTCGGTCCAAAAGCAGGCAGAGGGGAGATGGCGTCTAGGTCCCCTTGCGGGGGCTCAGTTTGGGTAGGAGAGGGTGTGTGCTGGCCTGAGGGGGTAATACTTCGGGGCCTAATATCTTGAATACACACACTGTCCCCATCTAAGCCTTCAGTTCATGTCTCGCTCGTATGCTTTACACACGTACATCTCTGCTTGTTCAGCTCCCATTTACCTTAAACCAAGCATCTCCAAAATTGCCATTGTGGTATATAAAGGCAAGTTCTTCAACTCTTTCCTATTTTTCTGCATTGCAATTTGAGGTGCATTTTTCCATAGAAATATTGAGCACCTGTCATCTATTGCCTGGAAGCACAGCTGCTACCTGGGTCGACAAAGCCTGTGAGCACCAGCCAGGCTGGAGCCAGCCCTGACCCCGCCATGTCTAGCCAGGAAGTGCTGCAGGGCCAGAGAGCCCGCTCACACCATGTGGTCTTGCTAAACTGGTTCTGCTTGCACAGCCATGAGTGACCCATTTGACCCTTGCTGTTCTCTACCTCCCACCAGCAGTGCCTGCCAGTGACCTTGTTAGGACAGGGTACAGTGCAGGGGGCCCTTCGACATCTCCCTGGACGGTGCTGCCTCGTATTTCCATATTTAGAACTGCACTGGGGGTGGCTGGGGTCCTTCTGGCTTCCAGAGGGACCTCTTCCTTCTCACCTGACCCTCCCGTCTTGG